GTTGGGACTTTAGACTCAAAGCAGCTGATACTAAACAAAATAGTGTAATAATTTAGAACAACAAAAAGAATTTTTGACAGTATGGAACAAAAAGATAAAGAAACTATTACTCCCATGATATAATTTCCACTTTAACAAAGTGTTATCAAAATAATTCAAAAAACAAAACTACCAAACTACCGTATCAATTAAAATTGCACCTCACACATGTGGCAACACTCATGAATATTAAATCCTACATCAATCATACACGGAGGTTGAGATTTCGCTACCGATTACAAGCACTCGTTTGCAAGGGGTTGCTTTGACGATATTTAGTTACCACGTAAAACTGGGTTAATTAAAGTGTGTAATTAATATTGTATAAACATGTACTTTAGTTCACGGACCCTATTTTAGGTAGTACTTGTAGTTTTTACAGACGAATCGGTATTTAATTACTTTTACTAATGTTTTTAGGAAACGTTGCTATGTTTTTAATTATAGGTTTGTTTTTATAGTGTTGTTTAAAGTGATTTGAAGTGATGTTGTGATGATTTGATTGATGGTTCTTTTGTTAAATTAAATGTCGATTTGAGTATAACTATCTTTAGTAGAAAGCTATAGTCTTAGTTAGCAGTATATGTCATATTTTTACGTTCACGTATATCAAAATCCATCAATAAAATAACTAAATAAATACAAACTTCTATCAAGTAATCCGACACAATAGAAGCACTCAAAACAAAAGCTAACCTTTCAAAAATACACCAACCAATTTCTACCGAATAACATAATATTTTTTGTTTGCAACACCAAAGATAACGAACTAACCGTGGCAACATTTATCGCGGTCTCATACCAACATCGCGGCTGTACGTTACTGTTATCGCAGCCGGCGTGGACATCTAGATTTATTCGTCATGAGCCAGGACGTGGACATAGCAAGGAAATGTTTATCTACTACGTACTACGCTTACTTACCAGCGTTTTTGCTCGACACGTCTCCATTTCGAGTGTTTTGTTTCATTCAATGGGCTGGTGTTAAATTGGTTAAGAATGATCATAGTTGTTAGCTTGGTCTATGCCTGATCTGATGTGTGAATTATTAGTTGAAATTAAAAAGCTGTTAAGGTTGAAACTTGAATTCAGAAATGTTTCAAAAGAAAACTACTTAGTGCATACATAATTATGTTTTATTTTATTTTATTAAAAAAAAAACAATATTACATATTACATTATCAGTAAAATACACAACATCAAATCAATGTAATACCCACAACATTTCCTACATATTACAGTTTGGGATATAAAATGAGGGAGATGAGATGACGATGTTATGTCATGTTTTTAGGGAGCCTATGTCCCGCAATAGGTGGAAATAGGTTGATGATAATAAATAGTAGCATTTTGAAATGTTGACATAGAAAGCTGACGGATCTATTCGAAATGTTACAATAACTGACTGTGAATCCTTTTGTGACTCAGAGAATAGAGCTTTTCATATAAATCATCATCACTTCATACCAAAACGTAACTAATTCCTATAAAAGTCCTCCCAACAAATCAACAAGACTTATTATTTAAACCATACAAAATATCGTATCGTGGCAAAACGGGCACTTGTCCCCCAGTGAGCAGTGAGCAGTGAGCACAGCATAGGGCGTAACGATAGCGGAATCGAACCGGCGATATGTTAATGCGCGTCCGATCGTGACGCACGACGTTCATCCTGCCGGACACTTGCTGAAGATCACCGCAATGATACGTACTTGAGAATATTTTTTATGTGTAAATAGCGTGGATGGGAGTCGTTGGCGATTGTTCCCAATGAGTTTTGTTATAGTTTCCTGAGTAATGAGATGGAATGAGGTTAGATGCTGTGAAGATCATTGTGGAAGTTAGTTTGTGGATTTAGCTTCTAGTATTTCAATTTATAAGTACGGTAGAGTAAGATTAACTAGTTCATAATACCATTGCGTCTCCTTGTATGCTTTGGTGGCGGTGACCCGGAAGTTTAAGACGCTTCTCATGCATGCGTGGATTCGAAACCTACCAACGGCAAGTACCAATGTCACTTTTTCCGAGTTATATGTACTTCTAAAGATTATTTAGCGACCACTGACAGACAGTGAAGAAAAACATCGTGATGAAACTTGTGCTAATAATCTTGAATTATAAGTTTGATATTGCCAACCCGCATTGAGCAAGCGTAGTGATTAATGCTCAAACCTTCTCCGACCGAAGAAAGGTCAGCAGCGACCACGTATAGACTGATGATGATTATTATTATGATATCCTGCTCATTTTATTCTGCACAATAAATTGAAAAATCTCTTTCAAAAAGAAACAATACTGAATCTATCAAATCATTCCCATTAGTTTCGACACCTAACAACAAGAACGTTGCCAAAAATTCATACATACATACACCTATCGGAATCGCAAAACGAGTTAAGTTACAGACCATCAGCTTCATTCAAGTCGTTCCCTCCATGTATTAAACACCTATGATATTATCGTGCAGTCCACGCATGATAGATGTACACACTCCCTAGCTCAACAAACACAAATAAATCAAGATGTGTGCAACGATAATCTCGACCGACTTTGTCACTCAACTCTTTGTTCGAAACTTTTTTAGTAGCTTTTTTTATTCACGATCTGGCAACACTGGTAATGGCGGGCATAATGTTGTGTAGTGACGTTAAGACGACATGTTTAAAAAAAGAATTTCATAGATAAATGTTTTAGTTTAGATAGAAAGATTGTTATTGTTTAGATTGTTGTCTCTTTTGATTGACGTTTTAATTATTATTATTTTAATGTAGTTTTATTCTAGTGCTGGTTGACCATGGGACAGTTGAGTACCTACACGGTTAGTGCACTGCTAGTTGCCGCTAAAGAGTCGCAGATTCGAATACAGCTCACATTAAGTATAAGTGACGTCGTGTTACGTATATGTCGAAGGGTTATAATTTCGTAGACTGAGCTCTTTATATGTCTGCTGCCATCTCCCGCTCCCAAAAACAAATCTATCATAAGTAATAAAAGCCAAGGGGCCAGTCATCAAGAACAAGATATTAATGTAGCTAAGATGTATGACATTAATTTATATTCGATGTTTTAGTTTTTATCTCGATCTATCTTACAATCGAGTTGAATTCGAGGTGAATGTCATTCGTGTGGGGACCACTACCATTGGTAGAAAAATTAGTGTTAAGTGATTTTAACATTTTTATAAGTTTAGTAACTAATTTTTAGTTGGGTGATTTCTTCTTTGGGTTGGTTTATTTGGTTGCAAATCAAAGTGAATTTACAAAACGAAGAGAATGAATGAAACAGCTAGCTACTGACAGACAACGTAATAATTTATTATACAAAGTAACTTGATGAACTTTCAATGTGAAGATTAACCGCGACACATGAAGGTCTTCACAAAGTCAGGACACAAATGACTACCATTCACTTACGCTATATTTACACAAGTACCTAAACAAATATTTAATGAGCGTCCATATTTATTTATTCTGCTATCTTAGATAGTCTTGAGTGCTCAGCGATTACGGTGAGTTATCAGGCGAGATTGTGTTCCGCAGCCCGTGGTAGCGCGCGTCCTAGGTGATCGCTCACGGGCGTCACAATCACAGATTTGAATCACTGCGATTGTGACGCCACCGATGCACGACTATTTTAATTGGACCCTGATCTCAAACCAGATAAAACCTTAACAAGATGGCCGCTTTGTTTTTTCCCTACGTGTGTAGGCACGTGTATGACGCTTGTCGGCCTTGTTCCAACTAACATTTAACATTAAATTCCATTGCTTAATTATACAAATTTTCAACAACATGCATTGTTCTCCTGCATCCGTGAAGCAACTTTGCAGTCAAAGGGTACACCTAATCTAACCAGCTCATTGTGGCTCCTAGTCAAAACTATGCGGGCTAGCTTTCAACGAATACATGAGTCGCATGTTTCTCTCTTGTACAGACGCAATGACATGTTTATAAAGACAAAGGGCACAGATGTATATCATTTAACGAATCGACGTTCAGTTCGCGAGCGCTGCATAAACGACACCGAGTCACGCCATCTATCTGATTGTCCGGACAACCTTTCGCCAAGCCAACAATCACAAGCTTATAACTTATTTAGCGAAAAACAGAAGCTGGAGCGCGACTAACGAACCACGATAAGCTCGCGTTCGGTATGACGCTAACATTAAGCTGCCAGATAAAGGCAGCATTAGTCGGCCAATCGCGCGTCACCGAGCAATCGTAATGACCAATCGGAACGCGCGCACACTAGGATAGCGTGACCCGAACGCAATCCGATCCGAGCAGTGTTCGTTACCGCGAGATGGCGGTCGGTGCGCGGCCGCACCAATCGTCGCGTCCATCTCGCTGTCGTGCCCATATAATGATCTTCACAGGGCCAGGAGAATGAAGTTGAGCCTCTCATTAATTGGCGTTTTGAGTCGAGATCGCTGCGCGAAAGATAGGTTAATTCCTCGCTCGGTAGAGATCGTTGTCGCTCAAAAAGGAAGGTGAGCGAGCGTTTTCTGGAAATCAGATCCAATTACAACGGGGTCCGTTAAGTTTTTGTTCTGTTTGGCCGCGGGCCCGCGCACGATATTGATGGACGAGCATCGGTCGTAATGACGGATCAACCATCCCGAGTGCGCGAACTTAATCTCGTCCACATTTCTCGCATTTGTTAAGACGAGTGGCCGGTGCTTGCGCCCCACCCACGCGGCGACATTTACATAGCACGGCCACGTCTCAATTAGGAGCGCTAATGTATGCCTCGACTCGCGAGGCTCCCTCTGACTGACGTCGACAGATACGAGACGAAACGTGACGAGTGACGACTATCGCGGGACGTCGCTGCCAACTCACCATCGCATAGCTATTAACAACACTAATAGGAGTCGATATGGCATTCATTCTTTTTGCTGCAATATTCTGCATTTATGTCCGCACGCGATAGATGCTCACTTGTATTGTTTTTATTTCCAGGTGAGGACGAGGAATGGGGAAACGAGAGCGAGGCGATGCCGGGAGAACCTCGCACGCCCAGCTCAGAGGGGGAGCGACCCGCGTCCAGCGGTGGCGCCTCACCAGCCTCGGGAGGCTCACCTGCTGCCTCACCACCTCGCTTACGCCTCAACACCAGTCTTGCTACAGACCCTGCGCTGGCACCGCAGGCAACGGCGCTCAAACATGAGCCGCCCTCACCATCTCCTCCTCCGCCACCAGCAGCAACACCACAAGCCGCGAGAGACTACCTCGCCTTAACGGCGGCAGCCTTCCCAGGGCTATTCCCAGGGTCTGGTCCTCCGAGCTATGTATGCAAACCTTGTGGTATACGCTACTCATCGTTAAGTACGCTACAAGCACATCAAGAACATTATTGTTCAAATAGACTTCCGAAACCCACAGAAGGGCCGAATGCGTCATCCGATCCTGTCGCAGATGAGTCCAGCAGTGATGCTAAAACTCCGCGACCTGCCGGCAAGCAGTACGCTTGCACGTATTGCTCATATAGTGCAGATAAAAAAGTGAGCTTGAACCGCCACATGCGGATGCATTCCTCATCTCCGGTCAGCAGTGGTACTCCAGCGCCGACGCCGACCTCTAACGGAGAAGTCACAGACGGTCCACCGGTACAAGACCGTTACTGCGCTGATTGTGATATTCGCTTTAGCTCAATAAAAACATATCGTGCTCATAAACAACACTATTGCAGCACGAGACAAGTCGTCAAACAAGCTTTGGCTGCAGCTCGGGGTAGCTCAGCAACGTCAGGGTCCGCCCCTCCTTCGCCTGGAGCCACACCACCGGCACAAAACCAAAACCAATACGCACTCGCGTTACCCACGAATCCTATTCTCATTGTACCGTATTCATTACTACGGGGCGCCAGTACTCTCCCAGGGGCAACACTACCGGACCCAGACACGCCATGCTTTCTGTTACCAAATGGAACATTCCAACCAATCAGTCGGGCAATATCAAATATGAACTCTGATGGAAAAGAAACTGAGGTATTAAAATCAGCCAACCGACCTCGAGAGCCTTCAAGAGATGGAGGTGTGACTCCACTAGATCTCAGTGTTCGGCGGTCCCCAGAATCAGTAGTCACTGATGAACATGAAAAAGAGAATAGAATACGGTCAACTACTCCTGAGCAAATAGTATGCGCTCCTTCTCTACCAGGATCTCCAGGAACGCCGTCTCCTTCACGGCGGTCTTCGTCACCAAGTGCAGAAAGTTCACCAAAGCGACGGCGGCTAAACTCAAGAGGGCCGACTCCCAAACCCCCAAGTGTGCCGTCACCTCCTGAAGAGAAATTCGCGCCCATAGTTCCTCCTGCAATCTTGCCACCTACCTTAGCATTACGCTTAGCATCAGAACTACCAGTAATTGGTGCATCTCCTCAAGTGCTTGTAAAACAGGGAGTTTCTAAATGCAAAGAATGCAACATCGTATTTTGTAAATATGAAAACTACCGCATACACAAGCGACATTATTGCTCATCTGGGGGTGGTGAGGAGCGCGCAAGTCCCGCGCCACCAGAGCCTGGCCCACCGCCTCAGTACCGCCAATTGATCTGTCTCGCGTGTGGAATACATTTCAGTTCGCTGGACAACCTGACGACTCATCAGTCGTATTATTGTACTAAACGTGAGACTCGATCTCCTCGAAGTGTGCCTGAAGTTCCACGACCTACGTCAGGGTCAGAGGGAGGTTGGAAGTGTCCTTGCTGCGACGTGGTGTCCCCGACGGCAGCGGCAGCGCAGCGCCACATGGACGCGCACGCTGGTGTGAAGGCTTTCCGCTGCACCATATGTCGATACAGGGGCAACACGCTGCGAGGCATGCGCACACACATACGTATGCACTTCAACAACAAGAAGCCTGCTGATTTGCAGGTAAGTTAGTATCACTAAAAACTGTATCAAACTGTAATCCTAAATATGATAAAGAGCCATCAGCCATTAGAAAAACAGTTGTCTAAAACCATTATGTTTTTAATCACTGTCACCACGGCAATATTAACATTCAAACTTGGTCTTTTTCAGGAAGAGAGCTACATCTCGTGCGTTTTAGAAGAGGACAGCCGTGAAGCGACTTCCCCGAGCCCAGCGGTGGGCGGCGGAGAGCGCGTACACCGGTGCGGCAGCTGCGCGTACACGTCCACGTACCGCGGTAATGTCGTGCGACACGCGCGACTCGTCCACGCGACAGACGAGCCGGAAGAGGAACAGACGTCTCCCGTCCCTCCCCCCACTGTCGACATCAAGAAGGAACCAGAGACAGAACTTGAGGAAACTCCAAACTACTGCAAGTCTTGTGACATTTCCTTCAAATACGTCAACACTTATAAGGCTCACAAGCAGTTTTATTGTACTGCCAACAATCAAGATGCAACGGCTAACAATAACGTACCCACGCCCGCGAGGGTCACAGACACGCCTGTGCTATGAATTTCGTTATTATTGATACTTGGCGTTCTAAATATATATGTGAGTTGCAGGCAATGTTAGTATCTCATTTTCGTAGAGCTTCATCAAGGAACTTGATATTACTTTGACTACTAGCGCCATCTATTATTGTTCCCCGTAAATATTTTTGACTAAGTAAAGACCCATTCAAATCAAACTAAAATTATATATATTCATTTTATAACGTGTATATGAACTTGTTTTCAATTGTTATAAAGGTATGGTTATATTTTATACTGTTTTAAAGTCATTTTGATGAAATCTCACGTAAAAGCGATAAATAACAGTAAGTCCTGTTTATATCAATGTTTACTCTGAAAATATTGCTCGCAGAAACCATAATTGCTTAAGTTGCTTCACCAGAATTCCTTGTAATTAATCCTAGACTAAGAATGTATCCTCTCGTTTTGAAATAAATTTAAATTAAATGATTGTGCAATAAATTAATGAATATAAAATTTAACGTGTACTGCATATCAATGCCAAATCGATGTTTCAAATTTTCGATTCGATGTTAAAATATAAAAGGCAAAATATTAAATTTAGCTTAAGTTACGCCACTGTTTCTGATGTTATGATAACGTGCGCAAATGGCGTAGGCGAAGCTAATAAATGTTTTTTCTTAATCCTTCAGAAATCTCAAGAACTCAAATGAGTAACTCAAAAAAGTTCTTGCTCATTTAAGTTCTTGAGGTAAAAAGTTTAATATATTGGCTAATGTACATACAAGCCCTCAATAATTTTAAGGATTTTGTTACTCTGTTACTGTAAATTTCCTAGTTAAAAGTTAAACTTCGTCTTTGTATTAGTATACGGTTAAAACAATATTACCAAAATTGTAAATATATGTAAAGATATTACTAAATATTATTACCATTCATTCTAAGTGATTGTTCTTGATTTTTGTTGTTAATTTTTGTTTAATATTAATTAATTATTAGGCGAATTTATCTTCTACTCCATAAAGCAGGTGCTGATTCCATAATATGGTTTAATTTACCAGTGTCATTTTTTTAAAACATTAGGTTTTCAAAAAATTACAACTTAAATTATTTTTGCGTTCTTGTCACTTAAAACTGATTTTAATTAATGTAATCTGTCGAAGAATGTGTCTTCAGATAAAATTTAAATCGATGATCTATGTACCTATATAATTTTAACGTATTTATTCAAAATTATGCCCAATATGAATGTTTAAAATGGTCATTAAAGCTTACAAGAACGCAAACTGTCAGCAATTACAAATGTATATTATATTTCACTTCCTTTCCTTGGACAGTTTATAACTGGTTAACCACAGTATTTATCATTCCCGAACTAAAAGTATCAAAACGTAAGTGTTAATAAAATGACTGTGTGCCCAGTATATCTTGGCTCGTGGCGAAAAGTGGAACTAATCATGTTCCATAGCAAGCAGCGCCACCCCAAAATGTTCTGGGCAAACAGTAAAATACCATGTTTTGTCAATGCCAAAGCATCGCTAGATTAATCGTAATTTGCATTTATAGTTATCTCATTAAATATAGTGTAGAATAAGTAACTACAAGACTTGTTCCCTACGTATAATTATTGTAATTTGTGTAACTTTTATGTTTTGTCTGTCTATAAAAGGAATGAGTCTCGAATCAGTGTTGCGATTAAAAAATATAGGTACAAAAACTAAAAAATGTTGTCGATCTTCCATTATGACGTATTTAGTGGACTAGTCGTTGGTAGAAGTGATTTTAAACTATAGGAATAAACTACCATTTTGTAAGTCATTATTGTAAAAGCTGTTAGGCAATACTGTTTAAGGAACATATTTTAAGATAGCAACATCGTCAAAATCTATAATAACGTTAATTTCGAAATCGAAGACAAGTTTAACTTCCATATTCATAAAAGAAATAAAGAAAAATCACTTCTGCTAACGACTTATAAATTCAGTAGAATAAAAAATCATGACATTTTGTGTAAAGAAAAAAGGTTAAACGAAACACAGCATCTGATGTTATGTGCCATAACTGTGTTCTCAGTAAAAACATAGTTTTTAATGTAGAAGCGTCATCTCGAATAAAATCCTTATATGTTTCGTAAACGATGGATGTCTTAGATTACGTTCGCAAATTTCCAACATGTCTAAAAAGATTTTATTCACAACAAAACTACTTTTTCTCGATAGGTGTTCAGTGAAAAAGTGTACATACAATAAAGTATATTTGAATAAATAAATAACAGACTGCAGAAAAATATAGGAAATCTAAAAAAACATGGTAATACACAAACAAGGAAGCATAATTCTGAAATCGATTAAAAACGAGATTACACCCAAAAATATGCCACTCTTAGCAGTTTCAAGAATAATTCCCAAAAACATGACGAAAAACTAATATAAGACACCCATCACGTACCTACCAATGTTTAAAATGCAACATTATTATAGTTAAGACGTTGAATTAAAGTGATAATAACAATTAATGAAGTAAACTGATGTAGGCATACAATGATATTGTAAAAATACCGCCAGACAATAAATTATTTATCACATATTAATATATGACTTTTATTTCCCGAAAAAACCGATATTCCTACTTTAAAAATATGGAAACTATGTAGGGACCGATGTTGGCCTGCAATGGGTATACTTGGAAACTCTAAAATAAGTAGATAATAATAAATACTAATAATTTTGCAATAAACAAGAGGTTCTGGCTAAAAAATAGCAATATTTTCGAAGATTCCTTGACAATACACCGCTCTGTAAAGATATATTTGTGGACAGGGTGGGAATGACATCGGTTAACACCAACCGGCACATTTACAAAATATTCTAACAATGACAGGTTTAGAAAAATATATGAACGTACAATACAAAAATTGACAAAATGGCCAATAATAACTAAGCTTTTTATTAATACCTAGCCATTTCGAAGGCTACTCTGAAGGCCAATGATCATACAAAAATAAACATAAGAAGAGTAGGTACTGGTAACGCCATCTCTAATCGCGCTCTGTAACTAATTTATACACGGTAGAAAACTCCAACCCCCGAAATAAGTGTGCTGTTCAATCAAACATTTTGTAGGAAGCTCGTCCCTGTAAAATATTTCAAAGAGCACGATAGATGGCAGCTCGTTTGCGTTAAAATCGACACACTGATTTTCATGGATGCTGATAGTAAGCGAAAAGTCAGAATACTTGTCGCGGAGAACCTAACGGGTAACCGGGGCTCCGGCTCGACGTGCAGGAGAAGGAACGGGGTGGTTTTTAGTCAGAGTCTGACACTCCCTCCCGCCTCACCCGGGCGGGAGCAGTCATTCGATGATTATCCCCCCTTAAAAAAAAGTCAGAATATAACAACTAAAATCATATTTTTTGGCACAACCCACAGATGCTTCGCACCTTAAATAAGATTCTGCCTATTAAATGTGAGCGGGTTCGATTCCCGCACGCAACTCTTTATTTTAAGAAAAGAAAAAAAAAGAAGTTCCAAGATGGACCCACTTCTCCAGATGTCATTTCCATCCTGTCCATCAATTTTAAAATATATCATTCTATGGATACCTTCAGTTTTTGAGATACAATTTGTTTTAGTTATTCACAGTAAATTTAAAAAAAAAATACGAAAAAGCATATGATAGCAAGGACTGCTACTACTACCCAGTAGCTGAACGACTGGCTGCTTCACAATGTATTGCGGGTTTGATTCCCGCACGGGACAAAGCATAAAAGATGTTGCCAAGTATGCTACGCTTAAGAATACAACTTTTTTTTAAGGGGGGAAAATCATCGAATGACTGCTCCCACCTGGGTGAGGCGAGAGGGAGTGTCAGACTCTTACTGACTCAAAACCACCCCGTTCCTTCTCCTGCACGTCGAGCCGGAGCCCCGGTTACCCGTTAGGTTCTCCGCGACAATAAGAATACAACTAGCGAAAAGTGTTTATTATTAAGGTCCGTGTACTTCTGCCAGCCCCTTCCGGGTGTAAAAGGCGTGATGTTGCGTGGGAAATAGGTATGTAGGATGAAATTAAAGATTTTTGGGCGAGTTTGCGCAGACTACCCGACGCTACGCCCGTTACGACGCATCATAGTTTAAAGTTTTCAGCATTAAGCAAAGTGCAGCGTGCACTAATACCAGCCAAATAAATATCAACACTAACACCATCGAAATAAAGCCTCAACTCCAGCGGCCATTTCTCAGTGATGCAAAAAATATCCACCAATATTAATTTGAACTTTATGACTCACAAAAATAAAGTACGAATTTCGCTGTCCGTGTTCAAGACAGCGCTGCATAGCGCTGGCAAGTGTTGTCAAAACAAAATAGCGCATGCGCGTTGACGTTATTGATTGATAGTCTTACATTTTATCTCGTGGAGGCACCACGGCGCGTCCTCGCGTGATTTAAAAAGATTATAAATATCTATTAAACTGGGGAGTATTCCTTATAATTCACTTGGGAATTCTGCCGAGTTTTGCGATCATTTTGCCCAAGCGATGGCTATCGACTCAGGACGCTCGCAGCCGAGCAAAACTGACACTTTCATCCTCACGAATGACAACAATAAGTGGAAGACTCCAGCTTCCCGCCAGGCTATGGTCAACAAGATGTAAGTTGGATTCTAGATTTTATTTTGTTTATTACAATAAGCCATAGAACTGCCTCTCGAATGAGCTATATTTTGAAATTGTTTGTTCAATTTTGGATTAATAACGCAAAATAGTAGGGTATCTATGTTTTTTGTGTTGCTTGCTTTTATTGTTACGTGGCGTGGGTTGTTTAAGTACCCACTTACGTTAAGCAAAGTCAAAATTCTGCTCAGCGAATTATTTTACCCCACAATGCTTAAGGTAAACATCACGCCTTTTAAGTACTGAAGGTGTAAGCAGAAATGATATAGCTAAATAATACTTAACTTGAAAACTGAGCCAGGTACCCAATAAACACTCACTTCAGTCGTCAAGACTGCCTCAATGGCCGAGTGGTCGCAAGCACGATTGCCGGGCAAGGGGTCTCATTTTCGATTCCCAGGACGTACAAAGTATTCTGGTTTTTAAAGTTTTCTCAGTAGTAGCACGGAGTCTGGAAATGCGCCCGGTATCATCCCCTATTAAATGGGACTCATAACATGTATGTATAATCTTAGTGAAAAGTGGGTGACACATTGTACAGTGGCATTAAGTGCTGTAATGTGCCCTTCTGCCTACCCCGTCGGCGACAAAAGGCGTAATGTTACAAAAAATAAATTCACTAGTTAAGCTTGTTGAAATTGTTTTATCGTTTATTGTTCATTAGGCAGAGCGTCATAGAAGCGACGGGTCTGCATGAGTACTCAGCAGCGGATCTGGAGGACAGCATCTACCAGAACTCCAAGACCAAGCCGGAGTACGTCATCATGCTGGTCTACATGATGCAGCAGCTCAAGAAAATGTGTACGTATCTACCTACATTTTAATATTTTATTTTTATAATCACCCTACAATAGGTTTGTATTTTGTCCAATGTTGTGAATGGGTCCGGATGACCAACCATTTTTGAAGAACCTTCAGATATAACGTCGCGATCCAGTTTCCAATCAGTTTTCTATTCTTTTGTTTTATCTTCATAGTATCTGCATTTTACTTTTATCTTTTCTTGTTTAATTTTTTTATACTTTTTGCATCTGTGTGCGTGACTAGGTAGATACCTACTGTTAAATAAATTCGTTTTCTTTCTGCCTCGTTGGCCGAGTGGTCGCATGTGCGACTGCTAGGCAAGGGGTCTCGGGTTCAATTCCCAGGTCGGGCAAAGTATTACTGGGTTTTGAAAAAAATCTCAGTAGTAGCACGGAGTCTGGAATTGTGCCCGGTATATGGCAATAGGCTCACCCCCTATTACATGGGACTCATAGTCATAGTCATAGTGGCATAATGTGCACCTCTGCCTACCCCTTTGGGAATAAAAACGCGTGATGTAATGTTATGTTATGTCTTTCTGTTTCTATTGTTCCGCAACGCATTTGCAGCAGGTGTACTTAGACTACGGTGACCGCTTATCATTAGGCGAGCCCATATAAGCTATTATTACGCCCAAATTGATAGTTGATACCAAGGAAACTTATAAGTACCTACTTACCTAGGTACTATAAAATTTGCAACGACTTGCTAAAGTTGGCTGGCAAAGAATATTGTTTATGAAATATGTAGGTACTTAGACAACGAGGATAGGTACGTAGATACTTAAGACCTAACGGGAAGGGAGACAAACGATTAGCGCCGCACATGAACATCCAGATCACCTAATGGTAGGTAACCCGTCGCGGAGAACCTAACGGGTAACCGGGGCTCCGGCTCGACGTGCAGGAGAAGGAACGGGGTGGTTTTTAGTCGGTAAGAGTCTGACACTCCCTCCCGCCTCACCCAGGTGGGAGCAGTCATTCGATGATTTTCCCCCCTTAAAAAAAAAATGGTAGGTAACCCATCAGCGCCGCGGCCGCCTAATTAATCCGTTTTGTTTTCTTTGTCCCCAGCCGCAAACCAGGCAGGAGACGCGATAGAGGAGGACGACGACTTCATGGTCGATGCCGCCACCTACACCGACTTCTTCTAAACCATCAATATAACATACAGACGACTGCATTCATTAGTTAATAACTGTTGGACGAAACAAACAAAAACAACCTTTAATGCGAACTCAGTAAGGTCCGTGTTGTAGTACGATACTCAAGCTGTGATCACTGTTTAAGTGGAGTTGGAAAGGGATGCACGTATTTGTAGAATGTATTTGCATCCCTTTTTTTCTTGACAAGAAAAGAGATTTCTGCTAAGTATTGTTCTATATTACAATTTCTTTAAAATTAACACGATCGAAACGTTGCCGCGTATAGCTCTTGGATTGGTTAACTAACTTAGAACTGGCCAATCAGAGCGCCGAAAGTCATAAACGTATCAATTACGTTTATTTAAAACAAACATGCATTGCTGCACTCTGGCCTCAAAGTTAATGAATCGAATTTACAAGTCCAATGGCGGTACAGTATACGAGATTGGTGACATCCAGATGGTGCGTAGTAGGTTTTAGAATGACAGGGAATGTTCGGCCAAATTATTTTTTAAAAAGGGGTAATGTTGGTCTAATTACTTATTAAGGGGATGGGGGATTATGGGGGTGATAACGGAAAAAGGGTATAGATAGAGTAGGAAAACAATTTTGAAATTGGGGGTGCCTTGTCAAAAGGTTTTTTGTAGAAAGGTAAGGTATACTAATCAATGCAGACTTCTGTCTCTTTCTAACTGTCTTTACTGTGTTTGGAATAAAAATTTGTCAAAATAAAAAATTTTTCGACCTTCAATGTTGTTTTATTTTAATCAAACTACAAAAATTTAACGATTCACTCTTAGACATCTATTAAACTTTTAATTACCCTTGTTGCACTCATTGATTGACAGTGATTTTGTTAATCTACTTTCAACCTTGAACATTTTGTAATAAAATGAATAATCTATTAATTAAATACACGAGTCAGCGACTAATTTCTACACTATCTTATACTTCTTATACTATTATATAAAGCGGAAGAGTTAGTTTTTTTGTTTGTTTGTTTGTACGCGCTAGTCTCTGTAACTACAAGTCTGATTTGAATAATTCTTTTTGTGTTGGATAGCGCATTTATCGAAGATGGCTATAGGCTATAAAACATCATGCTACGACCAATAGGAGCTGAGCAGAGCGTGTGATACCGCGCGGAAGTAGCTAGTAGTATATCAATGTCAAGACTACCGGCCCAGTTCAGCACAAAAACAGCTTACACCGAAAAAACCCAAAGTAAAAATAAAAAAAACAATAATAAATAAAATTTAAAAAACAACATTTATTCAATAAACAAAATGCAACAATATTACAAAACGGTTCAATCCGGATAATTATCATCGGACGACTCATTTCTGTATTGTTCCCTAAATTGTTCTGTATCTTCATCTTCTCCGTAATAGAAGCCATCATCACTGTCATTCTTATACCCTGGATCATCAACGTCATCAGCCTTATGGCAGTGTATTAGACCTCTGTTAGATAAATCTGGGTTTTCTGTCAGCACTTTAGCTTTATATTTAGCATATGCTGAACCATATCTCTGAGCATCATCTTGAAGTATGTCCGGTGGATCATCATATATTTTGTCTTCACCCGTGTCACTGGATAGGTCGTCTTCTGTAATTAATAAATATATTTTATGACTGCCTCGTTTGCCGAGTAGTCGCAAGTGCGACTGCCGAGCAAGGGGTCTCGGGTTCGATTACCGGGTCGGGCAAAGTATTACTGGGTTTTTAAAAATCTCAGTAGTAGCACGGAGTCTGGAAATGTGCCCGTTATGTGGCAATAGGCTCACTCCCTATTACATGGGACTCCATAACATAAATAGTGAAAAGTGGGTGTTACATTGTACAGTGGCATTAAGTGATATTATGTTACTTGGCTGCTAGTTTGTTTGTTCGTTTAAACAGGTTAATCTCCATAACAACTATCAAATTAAATAATTCTTTTTGTGTTAGTCCATTTATCGAAGGAGGCTGCAGCCTACTAGCGACCTGCCACGCTTCGCATGGGTGCAATATGCATGTATTATACATAAACCTTCCTTAAGAACCACTAATCACTCTATCTATTGAAAAAAAACTGCATAAAAATCCATTGCGTAGTTTTAAAAATTTAAGCATACATAGGGACAGACAGATGCGGATAGCGACTTTGTTTTATACTATGTAGTGATAAATATCATGCTACAATTAATTGGCTGCCGTGCAACGTGTCGCGGGTTCGATTCCCGCACGGAACAACACTTTGTGTGATCCACAAATTGTTGTTTCGGGTCTGGGTGTCATGTGTATGTGAATAAAAAAGAAGGGGAAACCTATGGGTTCATGTTTATTTTCTGAATTCTACTTACCAATATCAACCCTCTGCATAGCTTGCACCATATCCTCTACATCTATGCTGCTGACTTCCGAGTCTGGATAATCATTCCTCCAATTGTTCTCATCATTAGAATCATCATCATCTTCCGCTTCATTGTCTGAGTCTCGCGTTGGATCATATGAATCTAGGACCAAGCCTGTTTCAACACTGTAATTAAATAATAGAGCGATTAGTGTATGTGTCCTATAATAGGGTAGTTTCCTAAATTTTTATTTTAATGTCCGTTTGGTACATTAATTTAAAACTTTAGACACGTATTTTTATTCTTTTCTCACAAAATTAAATACTTTCGACGAAATATTCATTTGAAATATCGTGTGACGTCACAGCGTGTCAACGACCTCCCACTCCTAAACTTACCGCTATTTTATCTAACTATTGTAATTTAATATGAGAAAATAAAAAAACGTGTCTAATGTTTTTACATTATCTAACTGACACTAATTAGATTTTTATTTTTGATACCCTGGAAACTACCCAATTTAAGTGGAGTGATAAATTGTGACAACCTAATAATTCAAATGAAATACAATAAATCACTGCCTGCCTCGATGGCATACTGGTCACGGTTTTTTAAAAAGAATAACGAATTCAGTTTCTTCCTCGTTTTTCTTCATACGAATCTACATTTTGGAATGAGCATCTAGCTTCACTGACGGACTGACTGACAGACTATTATTTATTTTGTATTTGTTGACGTTTCAAAAGTACCAAATTATGGTTTAATTGAAATAAATGCTTTGACTTTGACTAAATGCAACTGCCGGGCAAGGGGTATCGGGTTCGACTCCCGGGTCGGGCAAAGTATTACTGGGTTTCTAAAATTCTCAGTAAATGGAAATAAAATGTAAAAGAAACACAAAACATTTATTCAACAGTAGGCACACACACAGATATATGGCATGTGCCTGGTATATAGCAATAAGCTATCCTTTTATTACATGGGACTCTATAACATAAACAGTGAAAAGTGGGTGTTACCTCTGTGTGCACTACTGCATGTTGTTACAATAAATCAGTACTGTTACAAAAATTGTATTGTATTTAAACGCAAACATATCATTTTAACTAAATACTACTAAATTTAAAAAATATATGCAAAATAATACTTTACACAGCATTTATTATAAAATAAATAAATGAGTAAATCAAGTGTTGCCCAGTATAAAAAATAATACAGGCAAGCTAGCAAATAAAAAGAAATAGCATGACCGAAATTAAATTTACGAAAACATTATTGTGAAACTTACCCCACGAAGTTGTCTATCATAGATATATCAAACTCTTGTTTTATACTGGTATAAAGATCATACGCATAATGTAAGTTCCCATCTTTATCGTCAGTTTTCTGCAGATCTATTAAATTGAGTACATCTGTATTCTCTCCATCTTTATCCTCATCTTTCAAACCTCGACTACAGTTGACTATTTCGTAACGACTCTTTGTAGTGACCTCTTTTCTTTCTTTCCTTAATTTTTCTATGATAGTGTCTACGTTTGGTAGGGATTGCTGCTTTACATCTGTTTTTGGTAAGAGATTCTTGACATGTGTGGTTTCCTGTAAATAGAGAAGTAGGTATGTATAATCTATAAGTGGGTGTTACCTTGTACAGTGACATTAAGTGCCGTAATATGCACCTTTGTCTATTTACCTATTCGGAAATGATAGTCGTGATGATATGATTTAGTCATGAGGATGTCTTGTGACTGATTTCATGATACTATTAAAAATCGACTATAGAGTATACTATAACTGACTGCCTCATTGGTCGAGTGGTCTGAAGTGCAATTGCTAGGCAAGTTTCGGGTTCGAAATGCATTTTTGTATGGGACAAGCCCACCACAATCTCCCATAACCGCTGCAACTCCTGTAAGCCAGGATCTACAAGTTCATTTCAGTTGTCAGTCCAAAAACTCAAACCAAGGATACTCCCAGATCGAAAATAATTTAGAGGTTAGACAGCAAAATTGTTTACAAAATTGAAACGCTCATTCTAAACACAACACAAATGAAGTGTCAAATGAAAAACAAAAATCCCGCTTTGGTGAATTTATATTATGCCACAGAATTTACATTAGAAGCACATTCTTTCATAATATAAAATATACATACTTGATCTTCAACGGTGCCCCGGAACACGAACAACGATGGTGAGATTTCTTCTTTGTCAGTTTTTATCCGTTTGCACATCAGAACCAGCGTGTCCTGTGGATTCTCTTCGAGCCTACGTTTTACTCTCAACACTGTAGAAGATGCCATCTTCACGTATTTATAAATTATTTAACCAATTTTCACAATAATAAACTTTAGCGCTCAACGAAGATCTATGACTTTGACAGGACAGAAAAGTACAGATTTTAGCAATTACGTTTAATTTCATTCTGCACCGACAGAAGAAATGTTGCTGTTTTGACTTAATTATTAAAATTAAATATTATTATAGCTATGTGAAAGTAAAACTTGATGTATAAAAAATGCTTGATTTATGCATAAATAATAAATGTAATATGTATAATAAAAAAAAAAACTAATAAATTCACCAGCGTACATAACAATATTCCTAATGAACCTTACAAAAATAACGAAACGTTATGGTTTTGACATCTTTCTTTAAATTAATTAATTAGCTGTTTGTCTTCGATACGATAGGGTTACATTTCGTGGTCATTTCTTTTAGTTGGTGAAAAAATTTGTTTGATTTGGTCGGGATTATTGAACGGACGCTAAATATTCGCCAATTATAGTCAGTCTAATTCAGAATTTCAACGTGTAGTTGCAAATACTATAACAATTACATGTAGTGGTTTAACATTTAATGAAAATTTGAAACAATTTAACACAATGGCTTCGAACAATATTTGGAGAACTTCGGCGTTCAGGCAGAGTGTGGTTTTCAAACTGTAAGTCATTTATCTGTATCATTAACAGTCATTTTAATTGCGCTTGTGTAAAACATATTGATAACTTTAATTACATATTGAATATCCTCATTTTTGGCTTTCAATATGTTGATGAGATAATCATTATTTAGATACTAACTTTCTGCCCGCGTTTTCCTCTAGCCTAGCTAAGTTTTACGGCCTCTTATTTTTCAACCATAAAAAGAATAATACCACAAAAAAACCCCTTTAGGAATTAAATATACCATGTAATTATTAACTTTCTTCTCAATCTTGATGATCAAATCAATCATTATCAAACAAAATTAGGTACAGTCAGCACCAAAAGTCGATGAACAGAATCAACATTACAAAACACCTGTACACAATAAAATGCCATAAGTTATAGTCGCAACTAGGAAACAAAATAGCCTGTACACTAGAAATTTACAAAAGTCGTTACACACGACTATTTCAGAAGTATCTATGCACTAGTATTCCTAAAGTCGCTGTACACTATCAATCCAAATGTCGCTGAACACCATTGCACCAAAAGTCACTAAACAGCAGTAAAGATAAAATTAGGTTAACAAAGTATATTTTTAATGTTGCCGTATGTTAATATACTTTTGATGCTTGTGTTGTTCAGTTACTTTTAGGACTGCTTGACTTTAATAATGCATGTTAACACGTTAGTATCTATTTCAATATCTATTTACAAAAACATGTATATTTTATTATCAGTAATCATACTAATCTATATTATATATACGCTTACGTCAAAATAATCGCTTTGTTTTGTGACGGTACTTGTAATTTACTTTGCGCGAATCTTACAAAACCTACCTATACCTATATTCAAGTTCATCCTTACATAACATTAATGCATTAATTGGAAAATTCCAAAAATTCTATGAGTAGCTATAATAATAAAATAAAAACTGCGTTTAAAAAACCGACTTCAAAAAACCAAAAACTAATAACAAACAAAAAGTCAAAACTAAAAAGCAAAAAATAACTATTATTAGTACTGATATAGATACTGAACCCACCCACTGATAGGTAAGAAGTCGGTCTTGGGTTCTAAATAATCTTAGAAAATATACATATAATTAAGAAAAAGTGACATTGGTACTTGCCATTGCTAGGTTTCGAACAGACACCCTCATGCATGAGTAGCCGGCGTCTAAACCTCTGGACCACCACGACTTACATAGAATACTTAAATAGAATAAAATGTATATTAGTTGATAGAGTAACGAACCAATAACAATTTCAATAAACCACACATCAATATTGAAATAAGAAATTTTTCAAGTATTATCATGATTTATTCTCAATCACCACAGTGAGGAGGTGATCCAGCGTTCAGGAGTTCAAGTAGCGCGGAACAGCAGTGAGATGGAGAACCACGTCTTTCTAAAAGCTAAAACTCAGGAAGAATACATGAACATGGTGGCTAAACTTATTTTGCATGTGAGGGAACTTTGTAAGTATACCATTTTACAGTCTAAGATTATATCTACAATTATCAAAATAAAGAACATCTGTATTAAAGTTCTGTATTTCTTTCAGCAAAATCAAAACAAAATCAAGGCCAGCAGCAAATGCAGGGCCCCAATCAAGGACAAACTGGGCCAAGTCCACAAGTCCAGGCCCAACAAGGGCAACCCCAACAGGGACCTAACAATCAGGGTGGCCTCGCACCAGATCCAATCAATGCCCTACAGAATTTAGCATCACAGGGGTCTAGTAACAATATGCCAGGACAGATGCAGGGACAAATGGGTAAGTTGACCTGCAAAATGACAGATCTGCAGATTTAATTGTAATTCTTTAACATCAAGTATGTTGATAAATGGGCTTGCTGCCATTGCAGCAGTAAGTCCCCTCTGAGGAGTGGCTTGAGAGACGCTACGGCGTCCTCACCTACCGCCTGACGCAGGTCCTCATCGGACATGGAAGTTTCGGGAGGTACCTGTGTCTGATGGGGCGGGAGGAAACGCCTGGGTGTCATCACTGCGAGGACGCCTTGAGGACACGGTGGAACACACAGTGGGAGAATGCCCTGCGTGGGCTGAGCACCGCCGTGCCCTCAGGGAAGTGATCGGCGATGGCGACCTCTCGCGTCTGGGCCTAGTGCAGGCCATGATGCGGAGCGAGGGGGACTGGGATGCCGTCTCCTCCTTTTGCGATACAGTCATGCTAGCTAAGGAGGAGGCGGGACGCGTGAGGCAGCGAAGCGCTGCCTCCTCGCAACCCAGCCATCGCGAAGGACACACCGGGCGTCGGGGATCGCGGGACGATCTCCGGCCACCGTAAGCGCGGGACTGCGGACGGCGAGCATGGGTGGCTCCACGTCCGACCAGAAACAGACCAGAGCGTACGGCGCGTAGCGTTCCGCGCGCGCCTCAAAGAGCCATCAGACCACCACAGATGGGGCCCAATAGGGCCGATGCCGATTCGGAGTCGCGGACAACCTAACGGGTAACCGGGGCTCCGGCTCAACGTGCAGGAGAAGGAACGGGGTGGTTTTAGTCAGTAAGAGTCTGACACTCCCTCCCGCCTCACCCAGGCGGGAGCAGCCATTCGATGATTTTCCCCCCTTAAAAAAAAAGTATGTTGATAAAAGCTATTTTATGCTATAATTGATAACTGTATGTTGAAAGAGGTCACTGACACCTACTTCTTAATTGTAACAGATAATATATTATTCAAAGGATTCATCTTTTAAAATCTCAAAGATGTAGGCATACAATGATATTGTAAAAATACCGCCAGACAATAAATTATTTATCACATATTAATATATGACTTTTATTTTCCAAAAAAAAAAAACGATTTTCCTACTTTAAAATTATAGAGACTATGTATCCTTGGGGACTAACGGTGGTCTGCAATGGGCATATTGGTAAACTCTAAAACAAGTATTAATGAATACTAATATCTTTTGAGCATATTAAGCTTAGAACTGATCTTTTTTAAGCCCGATCGAAAATTTTCCAATAAACAAGAGGTCCTAGCTAAAAAATAGCTAAATTTTCGAAGATCCCTTGACTATACGCCGCTCTGTAAAGATATATTTGTGGACAGGGTGGGAATGACCTCGACTGATGTGGGCACATTTAAAAAATATACTAACAATGACAGGTTGTTTGGAAAATTTTCGATGTGTAACTTACAATACAAAAATTGACGAAATGGCAATTAAATAACTAAGCTTTTTAATAGCCATTTCGAAGTTACTCTGAAGGCTTGGGGTCACACAAAAATAGATTCTCATAGGAAATCGAACCCGCGATACACTGTGACGAATAAGAAGAGTAGGGTAGGTACTGGTAACGCCATCTCTGATCGCGCTCTGTAACTAATTTATACACGGTAGAAAACCCCAACCCCCGAAATAAGTGTGCTGTTCAATCCAACATTTTGTAGGAAGTTCGTCCTTCTAAAGTATTTCAAAGACCACGATAGATGGCAGCTCATTTGCGTTAAAATAAACACCGGTTTTAACGGATGCCTAATAGTAAAATAAAGTCAGAATACAACAGCAAAAATATTTTTGTTGGACAACCCACAGATGCTTCGCACCTTAAATAAGGTTCTGCCTAATAAATGTACGAAACATTTATAGTACCTTAGTCTTGCCTATTAATGAGCGGGATTACAAAACCCTAGGTTCAAGAATTGCCAAGATCACTACCCCTAGGGGAATTTCAAGCGAGTCTAGTAATGACGATCGACTGCCTCGTTGACCGAATGATTGTAAGTGTGCTGCTGGGCAAGGAGACTCGGGTTCGATTCCCGGGTCGAGCAAAGTATAACTGGGTTTTTTTTTATTTCTCGATAAAAATCGTCGATCAGGATCGTGCCCAATATGAGGCTCACCCCCTATTACATGGGACTCATAACATAAGTAGTGAAGAGTGAATGTTACATCGTGCAGTGGCATTAAGTGCCGTAATATCCACATCTGCCTACCTCTTCGGGGATAAAAGCCGTGATGGTAAGTCTAGTAATATCCTCAAGGTTATTTTCTTTTTCCGTCTCCTTGACCAAATATTGGTATTACATTGTTCTCACATAATTGAACTCAACGAAACAATGTAAGTAACCAAAAATTGTATTGTGAACATGATTGAAAAAGAGTAACCTAAGTATAGAGTTTCTTAAGCGCTGCCTCCTCGCAACCCAGCCATCGCGAAGGACACACCGGGCGTCGGGGATCGCGGGACGATCTCCGGCCACCGTAAGCGCGGGCCTGCGGACGGCGAGCATGGGTGGCTCCCCGTCCGACCAGAAACAGACCCGAGCGTACGGCGCGTCGCGTTCCGCGCGCGCCTCAAAGAGCCATCAGACCACCACAGATGGGGCCCAATAGGGCCGATGCCGATTCGGAGTCGCGGAGAACCTAACGGGTAACCGGGGCTCCGGCTCGACGTGCAGGAGAAGGAACGGGGTGGTTTTTAGTCAGTAAGAGTCTGACACTCCCTTCCGCCTCACCCAGGCGGGAGCAGTCATTCGATGATTTTCCCCCCAAAAAAAAAAAAAAAAAAAAAAAAAAAAAGTATAGAGTTTCTTGCTCGTTCTTCTCCATAGGAATCTACACTTTGGAACGAGCAAATAGCTTCACTTGAGGACTGACCTACAGACTGACATATTTTCGTATTATTTAAATATTTTGTTTTGACGTTCACAAGTGCCTTCCTGGTCTAATTGAAATAAATGATTTTGACTTTGACTTTAACTTTGAATAACCTATCCTTTTTACAAACACAACTATAAAAGGATTCACGATGAACTTTTGGAAAAATTCATGAGTCACATTTGACTTATTTTTTGGCCAATTTAGGGGTGTATCTCTGATATGAGTGTAGCACCGAATTATAATAAAAACTACGTGAACATGTAGGTACCGCAAAAAACCCGACCTAAAAGTAATGGAATTGAGATACTTGTAAATTATATTACAGCTATCTAGCTAGATAGCTATAATTTATAGTTTAAGCCTGTAGTCCTAAACCTAAGCCCTCCATTAATCGCATTCCGTTAACCTAGGTTTCGAAGTTTGCACGTTTGGTGCGGCGCGGCCATAGATTTAGTATTATATAGATGCGTCGTAATAATCTATAGCTTATTCTAAATCGATACAGAAATATGAAACCACACTTTGTCTCTTTTTAATCAATGAGTAACCTCATTTGAAGAAAGAGACGTCATGTTGTTTGTTTATTCTCTGCCTGGTAACATTTCTACACTTCTGACAAGGTACCTACCTCGCGTGCCAGCCGCCATCTTTAGGCCGTATAGTTTTGAAGTACGTCAGGTGTCAAGCGAACAACAACATTAGATTTGGATGGCGATTTTTAACTGTAAAAACGCTCCCAACCTAATTGTTTTGTGCTGTGTGTGTCTAGTGGTGCATATCTAATATGTCTACTTGTTCAATAATTCTGTGTGGGGCAAGGAAAAACCCCAATCAACCCCATCTGACTATGCACAGGTTAGTAGCCGTATTTTAAGAAAAAACTTTATCATATTATTAGTTTTCTTGTTTATCTAGCCTTGTTTTATATATAGAATAAAAGCCCCTAAATGTACATTTTTGTTTATAATAACTAACTTCATTTGCTAAATTTGGTTTATGTTTTGTTTACAATACAAATGACGATTTACAATAGTGATGTATTTTATTTAATAACATATCGATAAGAAACTAACATATTTTTAGTTTGTATGTTATGGAGTCCAGTAGAGTAGAGTATCAAAATAAAGGGTCTGAAGAGACGATTTTGAAAATAAATCTTGTTAAAGTTAATTGTAAAATAAATCTTGTTAAAGGAGGGTGTAGTCCTAAAACACAAAGGGAAACTGTCACTGAAGAACACATGTATGGTTTTAGCCAGTAAAAGTCTTACGTGCTCTCCCGCTCTACCCAGTCATTCGATGATTTGTACCTTAAAAAAACATCCAAAGTACCAGAAGATTTTTAATGTATAAAACTCTGCTATCGAAATCAATACTTTTTGGTTTTAACTACAGTACTTCCCTTGCAATGGCAGCCATTTTTAGGCCTCGGTTTCTAGTAGGTATGCACGCGTATTTTGTAGGTATTTCTGGTCCATATTATAGTAGGTCTGTGGGCGCGGCGGATAGAATAAGCAGCAGTAGCCAAATGCCGTTTAGCTCTTGTCTACATGTAGAATAGAAAACTAAATTATATGGTATTGACGTAAATTCTGACACTTGTCAGTGTCATCTCATCCCCATACATTTTGATTTCTACTCTCTCTGTAGACAAGCGCTAAAGTGGCGTTTGGCTAAAGGCACTGGACAGATATTAGCAATTACGTTTAATTTCATTCTGCGCCGACAGAAGAAATGTTGCTGTTTTGTCAGTATGTATGTATTGTTCAAATAAAAACTTAAATAAAATTAAAACTAACTAATACTAAATTAAATATATACAACTTAAGATTAAAATTATTGAAAAGAAAAACAAAAACATGCGATGCGGACGAATTTTTCAATGCTTTATGTAAATAGTTACTGTTGTTTTTGTTTTGTCATAATTATTAAAATGATATATTATTATAGCTACGTGAAAGTAAAATTGTGCTTTATTTATGTATAAATAATAAATATAACATTTATAATAATTAATAACTTATAAATTTATCAGCGTATAATAATATTTCTAATTTTCTAACGAACCTTACAAAAATAACGAAACGCAAATGCTTTAGAAAAGAAACGTCAACGCGTCATTATCTGTGGTTTTGAGTTGACATCTTTCTTTAGCTGTTTGTCTTCGCTGGTTTCATTTCGTTCGTGGTCATTTCTTTTAGTTGGTGAAAAAATTAGTTTGGTTTGGTCGGGATTATTAAACGGACGCTAAATATTCGCGAATAATATTCAGTTTAATTCAGAATTTCAATGTGTAGTTGCAAATACTATAACAATTACATGTAGTGGTTTAACATTTAATGAAAATTTGAAACAATTTAACACAATGGCTTCAGACGATAATTGGAGAACTTCGGCGTTCAGGCAGAGTGTGGTGTCCAAAATGTAAGTCATTATCTGTATCATTAACAGTCATTTTAATTGCACTTGTGTAAAACATACTGATAACTTTAATTATTGAATATCCTCATTTTTGGCTTTCAATGTGTTGTTGAGCGTACCTAATAATTATTTAGATACTAACTTTCTGCCCGCCTTTTCCTCTAGCCTAGCTAAGTTTTACGGCCTCTTATTTTTCAACCATAATAAGAATAATACCACAAAAAGACCCCCATTAGGAATTAAATATACCATGTAATTATTAACTTTCTTCTCAATCTTGATGATCAAATCAATAATTAACAAACAAAATTAGTTACCTTGATAATGATTCACTAAATGGTAATTACATTAAATTTCCTTTGGAGATACCCCAATACATTTTCCTATAGATACTGAGTCATGTTTTTCCTTTCTTGTAATATTATTGTGTAACTTCAAAATCAATCTATGCAATAGAATAAAATGTCATCATCAGCTTATAAGTCTCATCTCTCTCACAGAGAGGGTTTGAGCATTAATCACCATGCTTGGTCATTGCGATTTCAAACTTATAAGTTTGTCTTCACCGTTGGTCAGTGGTGTCTAAATAATCTTAGAAAAAATATATATATATATAATTAAGAAAAAGTGACATTGGTACTTGCCATTGCTAGGTTTCAAACCCACACCCTCATGCATGAGTAGCGGGCGTCTAAACCTCTGGGCCACCACAACTTACATAGAATACTTAAATAGAATAAAATGTATATTAGTTAACTCGTCGAGTACCGGTTTTATAGACACAATTAAAGAACAATAGGTCGCGGTCACCGGTGACCGCTTGGTGTTTGACAGTTTAATAGACTTACGAACCAATAACAATCTCAATAAACCACACATCAATATTGAAATAAGAAATTTTTTAAGCATTATCATGATTTATTCTCAATCACCACAGTGAGGAGGTGATCCAGCGTTCCGGAGTTCAAGTAGCGCGGAACAGCAGTGAGATGGAGAACCACGTCTTTCTAAAAGCTAAAACTCGGGAAGAATACATGAACATGGTTGCTAAACTTATTTTGCATGTGAGGGAACTTTGTAAGTACACCATTTTACAGTCTAAGATATATATCTACAATTATGAAAATAAAGAACATCTGTATTAAAGTTCTGTATTTCTTTCAGCACAATCAAAACAAAATCAAGGCCAGCAGCAAATGCAAGGCCCCAATCAAGGTCAAACTGGGCCAAGCCCGCAAGTCCAGGCCCAACAAGGGCAACCCCAACAGGGACCTAACAATCAGGGTGGCCTCACACCAGATCCCATCAATGCTCTTCAGAATTTAGCATCACAAGGGTCCCGAAATCAAATGATGACAATGGGACCTCAAGGACAGATGCAGCAGCAAGGTGTGATGGGCCCTAACCCTGGAATGGGAGGCATGCAGGGCCAAATGGGCCAACAAGGTCCAATTGTATCTCAAGGACCTCAGGCACAGACAGCTACTAGTCTACTTCAAACCTTGAATAGGCCGCAGATGAACATGCAGCTGCAGAACAAGTTGGGAGGTCCAATGGGGATGGTGAGCAACCAGGGCCAGATGGGGAATAACATGGTTGGTAGCATGGGAGGTATGGGTAACCCAATGGGCAGTCAGCTACAGAACCAACTTGCTGGAGGCATGCAAGGACAAATGATGCCAAATATGTCCATGCCCAATTCAATGCAGGTGCCAATGAGTGGGTCCAACACTATGGGTCAGATGCCATGCAACCAGGTGGGCCAAATGGGTCAAATGGCACCAAACAATATGCAAGGACAGATGCAGGGACAAATGGGTAAGTTGACCTTCAAAATGACAGATCTGCAGATTTAATTGTAATTCTTTAATACATCAAGTATGTTGATAAAAGCTATTTTATGCTATAATTGATAACTGTATGTTGAAAGAGGTCACTGACACCTACTTCTTAATTGTAACAGATAATATATTATTCAAATGATTCATCTTTTAAAATCTCAAAGATGACTTTTAAAGTGTTATATGGTATTTTTTGCAGTAGGTGGCATGGGTAACAACCAGATAGTAGGGTTGAATATGCTGCACATGGGTCGCGTGGGAGTGGGCAACAAGCAGGAGGTAGGAGGAATGATGGCGGGCAGTTACCAGGGTGCTAGGGCACCTCCTCCAACTCAGTTCCTTCGTCAGAGTCCTTCGCCCTCCGCTCCTTCACCCAGCATGGGTGGACCCAGTCCTATGGGTGAGTGATAATTCTTTATTGTTTTAGCAGACATTTTTAAACAGGTCAAGACATAAATGTCTTTTATTTTGTACACTAAAGAAGAGATGACTTCAACAAAGCAAGCCATGACAATTTTACTCACCATTGTCAACTTTTCAATTATAGTACAACTATAGATTATAATGAAATGAAATAATAATAAAAAATAAATAATATTGATTTTGTCTCTTAGCTGAGAATTACTTAAATTGAGTCAGTCATTAGGCTTTCTTCTGCACATATTAGGTAATTACTTTTTAATGTAGTAATTGATAATTAGTACTAAATATGCTATAAGACAACAAAACATGCTATGCCATAGAACAATGACTTCTTTCTATGCTCCTAAAAAATTTGTCTGATGTGTCATGAAATGTACTCTTCTTTCTATTAACTTCTTTCCATTTTTTGCTAGTCTTTAGGTTTTCATAAAGATAACTTGTGTTATCGTACACCAAACAAAAACTAAAACTTCACACTATGCTTTAGCTGATATTAAAAGAAAAACAGAAAACCCAATAGGGATGATGACAGGGTATAAAAATAAAAAATCTAATCAGTCTGTCAGTTAGGTAAAGAAAAAATATTAGACACGTATTTTTTATTTTGTTGTATAATAAAATGATACTTAGATAAAACGAATCAAAGTCTAGGAGTGTGAGCTAAAACGTCATTTCTACGTATAAAATGTGCATAGAAGTGACGTCACGCGACATTTAAAATCAATATATCGTCGAAAGTATTCGTTTCTGTAAAAAAATAAAGAATACGTGTCTAATGTTTTAAAATAATCTACCAGACGGACATTAAAATAAAAATTAGTCATCTGCCCTATTATATTTTCTTCAGCTCTGAATCCAATACAAGACTCCTTGCTTTGTTATACATTATCAACAATAGCTAGTCAAACCATCAATATTCACACTGAATAATAAATTATACAATTTTCATTATTAGGTGTGATGGGCACAACGATGACGTCACCGATGTCGTCACTGGGCGGGCTGGGGGCCTGCGGCAGTGTCGGCAGCCCGTCCCCGTCCAACCCAACGCATCTGCAACATCATGTGCAACAACCACAAAGGTATGTATGCTATAGACTGAGCAGTTATTGAATTTAGTCTTTAAAGATAGACAAATAAGGTTGTAGTTAGATTAACATCTTGTTTAGAGGAATAGACTGAGCAGTTACTGAATTATAATATTTAATGACTAATAAATAAGGTTTTCTTTCGGTTAACAAGTTTTTGGACGTATAAATTTCATTTGTTGGCTCTTTTTGCTGTAAAACCTCTACAGTTTTGCATTTGCAGTTGTATTTTCAAACTTCTTATTAGTCTTTTGTACCAGTTATGGCTACCTTGAACAGCAAAGATGTTAAATTACTAATAAGAACAAAATATCTATTTAATTTTATAAAGACGTCAATTAGTTTTCAACCGACTTCAAAAAAAGGAGGAGGTTCTCAATTCGACCCGTATGTTTTTTTTTTTTTTTTTTTCTATATTTGTTACGCGATTACTCCGCCAATTATGAACCGATTTGAAAAATTCTTTTTTCGGCGTATAGGTAATACCTCAAGGTTGGTCCCATTTAAATTTACTAATAAAAATAACAACCCCCAAGGGTGGAAAATAGGGGATGAATTTATTTATACGCAATAACTCCGCCGATTTTAAACCAATTTGAACTATTATTTTTTTATTGAATAGGTATTATCAAAAGGGTGGTTTCATGCGAATTTGAAGAAAATATTTCACCCCCAAGGGTGGAAAATTAGGGGATGATTTTTTTATACGCAATATCTCCGCCGATTATGAACCAATTTGAACTATTATTTTTTTGTTGAATAGGTATTATCAAAAGGATGGTTTCATGCGAATTTGAAGAAAATATTTCAACCCCCAAGGGTGGAAAATTGGGGATGAAATTTTTTATACGCTATATCTCCGCCAATTATGAACCAATTTGAACGATTATTTTTTTTTAGCATTTCTTTCTCTACTTTCTTTTAAACGCACTTCCCTTTCTTCTTTTGTTTCCTCCAAACGGCGCTGTCTCATTAAGGCTGCGCGTTTAGTAGGCCTACCCATATTAAATGCACTAAGGGTATCTACAAAAAAGTAACACTAAAAATTTTAAAATAAAATAATTAACTTTTTAAAAAAAATAAAACCGACTTCAAATGCGAGAACACAAAAAAAAACTAAAAATTAAAAAATAATTCCTAATACCTATTACCTAATACTATAATTTTTCTAAACTATATCAAAGTAATTAAAGTTAAACCATCTAAATATCTTAAAATAGTTATACTTATATACCTACCTATTGTTTTTTGGAGTCGGTGCCAGTAATAAATGAATATTAAACCTAATGAAATAAGAAAAAGTACTCAATGAAACAAAAATATTAAGAAATAAGTTGTATGTAGCCTGGTACAACTAAACCTATACCAACAAAGAATAACAAATACCTACAAATCCTACAATAGAATACAACAAACAAAAAAGAAAGCAATAATTTGAAATATTGCGCATCCGAAAATTCAGTATTTTTGACACGAGCGTCAACGTAGTCTGCCCTCAAGTGTCTGCCCGCCTTCGGGTCGCTTACTCGAGCAAGACCGCACGCGCCCGCGTCCCCCGCCGCACCGCGCGGCCCCGCCTCGCGCCATGCGTCCCCCGCCACCGCGTCGCACGTCTCTAGTTCGCGGGTAAACTTTAATACGCTGGCACTGGCACCGACTCCAAAAAACAATAGGTAGGTATATAAGTATAACTATTTTAAGATATTTAGATGGTTTAACTTTAATTACTTTGATATAGTTTAGAAAAATTATAGTATTAGGTAATAGGTATTAGGAATTATTTTTTAATTTTTAGTTTTTTTTTGTGTTCTCGCATTTGAAGTCGGTTTTATTTTTTTTAAAAAGTTAATTATTTTTTGACGAAAACAACTAACACTTTTATGTATTATTTAACCATTATTTGGCATTTATAACCACATACAAAATTATCCTTACCGTTATAACAATATGGTCTATTATTGTCTGAATACTGGTCGCCTAGGGGCGTCGGTATGGGTATGGTAGCGTCGCCCTCTTCGTCCCTGAACACGCCGGTGGGAGCGAGCGTGGCGTCCCCTGGCGGGGAGGAGGCAGCTTATCGGGAGAAGGTCCGACAACTTTCGAAGTATATCGAACCGCTACGTCGCATGGTGCACCGCATGGTTAGCGAAGGAGAGAGTGAGTATTGCTTTATTATTATTTATCGTGTGAACTAAGTTTATGGGACGTCTGCTGGTAAGCAGATATTGTGCTGATATACACTTGCAACTCCAGAAGTATCATGAGTGCTTTTTCGACTATGGAAATATCTTAAATCTTTTAATGAAGTACACCATAAAGTTATAATTTGTATGCAATAGGCTCACCCCCTATTACATGGGATTCATGACATAGATAGTAAAATTAAGTGTTACATTGTACAGTAGCATTAAGTGCCGTAATGTATTACTGTATGTAAGACTGAAATCTGTCTTTTTTGACTTATCTACTAAATATCACAAAATTTTAGACCTAGCGAACATCACACTTCATTTGCGGCGTCCTAACTGATTACAAAAACATAACATCACGCCTTATGCCACTGTACAATGTAACACCCACTTTTTCACTATTTATGTTATGAGTTCCATGCAATAGGTGGTGAGTCTATTGCCATATACCGGGTCCAATTCCAGACTGCGTGCTACTACTGATTTTTTTTTAAAAACCCAGAAATACTTTGCCCTGCAGTCGCACTTGCGACCACTCGGCCAACGAGGCCGTCAAAAAAGTGATAGAAAAAACTAAAAAGACATCAATTATTCAATTTCTTACAATAAAAATTCATTTAAATCTTTCAGTAACGATGCATACGTACTAATGACTTTGACTTTGTCAATAAACCCACAAAATATGATTAATGCTCATTTCGTTTGACCTCTCTGACCCCTATGTATCATACATTTATAACTGGATTGTTTTGCTGTTTGTTTATCCCATCGTTGTGTAGATAAGACATGAGTCATTTCATTAATGTATTATTTAACAATTTCCTTTGTTCCCATTTCATTATATTCTAAGACTAAACTTCTTTCGTAAAAATTGATGACTGTTGAATGTTGATGAAGCGAAAGAGGTATGTAAGAATCGTAGCAATTGGCGTTTCCAAGTCTCTGCCTACCCCTATGGGAGACAGGCGTGAAGTTATGTATGTATGTACTAAACATAGGCTACTTTTTATCTTTTTGTGACGCGAGCGGAGCCGCGGGTAAAAGCTAGTTGTAGCAATAAACAGTCATGTAAAGTAGTCGGAAAGTTAGTATTTTAGGCAGTAGATTTCATATTTTCATTAAGGACAATTCTTCTTTCCTTGTCGGAGTTTTTATTACTACTCTTGTCCAGCTACCGCTCCAACCGTACCGACAATAGCCATAATTTCACTCAGTGTAAATCCAACTGAGCACTGATTATAACACTTTCTCTACAGATGTTGAAAAGCTGACAAAAATGAAGAACTTATTGGATATTCTGTCCAACCCCAACAAGCGCATGCCGCTTGAGACTCTCATCAAGTGTGAGGTCGTGCTGGAGAAACTGGACTTCAAGAGGGGAGAAGGAGTCGTTGTTCCCAGCACTGGGAAGGTAAGGAACTTGTGAACTTTCATTTTATTACAGTTAATTGCGCACCGACGATGTGTCGTAATGAAATCTTTTGCCGAAATATTTGTTAAATACGACGAGTTTAAACTGTAAAACACCAAGCAGTCACCGGTGACCGCAACCTATTGTTCTTTAATTGTGTCTATAAATATGGTACTCGACGAGTTAATTTAGATAAAGTCGAAAAGCTATATTGATTTCTGTCGGAATAATACTATATTTAAATCAAATTACATACATAACATCACGCCTTTTATCTCCGAATTGGTAGGCAGAGGTACACATTATGCCACTGTACAATGTACCACCTACTTTTCACTATTTATGTTACGAATCCCATGTAATAGCGGGTGAGCCTATTACACTATTACATAAATCAAATACTTATCTGTGAAAAATACAAGTTTGTACGTAAAAATATAATTAACTCAGCTTTAAACTGTAAAACGATCGCAGCATTTTCTTTTACATACATAACAATAGCAAAGTTATACTTATAACAATAAAATAATGTACTAAAACCTACATTTTGATACTTACTTGACAATTCTCCCAACAGGAACAAATATTCAATCCGTTGTTAGAAGTAGTAAACAACTGCCTACAATCTCCCCTCGCTAACCACACACTCAAACGCACCTTCGGGTCTGCTCTCGATGCGCTGAATGGACCAGAAATGAGGTAAGAATACACATATACTATGTACAGTTGTCATATTACTTACGTTGTTAACATTATCCGTGTTCCTGATTGCTTTCTTTCTAAGCCTGTAGTCTGCTCCTACATTTTTCACTCCACTCTTTTGTCTTTCGCAAGCTAAAATCTGCGGTAAACGAGCAGACGGATCACCTGATGGTAAGCAATCGGCGTCGCCCATGGACACCTGGAACACCAGAGGCATTACAAGTGCGTTACCAGCCTTTTGGGGATTAGGAGTTTGAGGATCGTTGGGGATTCAGGGATTGGGGAGATTGGGAAAAGGGAGGGTAATTGGGCCTCCGGTAACCTCACTCACACGACGAAACACAACGCAAGCGTTGCTTCACGTCGGTTTTTTCGTGAGGCCGTGGTATCATTCCGGTCGAGCCGGCCCATTCGTGCCGAAGCATGGCTCTCCCACACTTGAAAAGAGCCTGAGGTGATGACAAGTAACTCAAAGATAAAATCAGATATCTCAAGTCTCTAAAGTCTAAATACCACAATATAAAGTTCATGATCATAGTCCGTAAAAAACTAAAATCTTAAGTGTCAAACACCAAGCGGTCACCGGTGACCGCGACCTATTGTTCTTTAATTATGTCTATAAAACCGGTACTCGACGAGTTAATAATAAATATATTAATGTTTCTTTTTTGATTCCAGAAATTTACCGACACCTCAAAAGGTACCAAAATTAGAAGAGCCTCCCATGGAGATTCCAGATGTTCTACAAGGGGAAATTGCCAGATTAGACTCCAGGTTTAAGGTAAGATATTGTCACATTGTTTTACTACAGATAGGTGAAACAAAAAGGTTTTATCTTTTGGGTGTCACGCCAACGTCTTACGTTACGTCAGCGTCAAAATTGATGTTCTTATTGGCTATAGTGGAGTCGTTGAAAAGGTTAATTAGCATTAAAAACAATTATACTAACACAATCATAGAGTCCTAACTAGGTTGAAGTAAACCTTAAAGCCAAACATAAACGTGTCTTTACGTGCAGCATAAACGTGTATTATCTTCTCACTATGTCATATCTTCACGTACTTTACCCATTACTCCTCCGACAGGTATCCCTAGAACCAATGTCGTGGTCAGGCGGTGCAGGAGGAGGCGCCATAACCCTGGTGGCCGCGCTGGACGAGCCACGCCTGCCCTGTGTCGCTGGAGTCCATGTCGCCGTCCCGCGGGACTATCCTGCCAGGCCACCCGTCAGACTAAAGCCAAGGACGGCCAAGAATTATGCGCCTGACTCCTTCTTAGCTCGTCTTGAAAAGGCCATGGACGCTCGATGTGCCAGGTAGATATATTTTGTTTCTTATTATTTTATACTTTTTTGTAGGTTTAAAATCGTTAAGTGACTCCTCTTGTCCTAGATGAAACGTATTGAATTATTACTTAGTCAGTAATAATTTAAATAAGGTTAGTTTTATACGCAGGTTGTTCAACATCACAATCGTAGTTCGATTTGCTGTGTATCTCGAAGTAAACTAATATTAAAGACCTGTTTCACAATTCAGATATCTAAAGAAACCAACAAACATTAGCTGCAAAACACCTCTTACTATTTGCGCAAACTTTCACCTATTTGCGCAAACTACCGCACAACGTTTGCGCCACTCACCCTATACATTTCTTCCACAGGTTACCAAAAAGCTGTTCAGTAGGGCAGCTACTAGACGCGTGGGAGATGAGTGTGAGACAAGCCTGTGCCCCTACGCCCGTGGCCTACGCCCCGGTCCCAGCGCTGGGCTTGTAAACAAGTAACATATCCTATAAATATACATAGTTCCCTCATCATGCAAAATTAGTCTCTTAACCTACAAAGAGACTGAATTGTTCGTTGAGAGCTATGTATTGTGTTCGTTTGTCGATATAATATTTAAAATATCTCAAGTTTGGAACCGTTTTTAGCTATTGATGAAAAGCGGGAGTTTCTACAATGTGTATACTTTTATGCTAGCTTCGCCTCTAGCTAGCACCAATAACAAATGTAGTAATTCCACTCTGTTGATCTTTGCGCAAAAATGAGTTTGCGCAATGAGACGATTGTATGCCAGAGGTAGTTGTGAGAATTGAACTTGTGAAAACAAACTGCATCTAGATAGCCTTTGGCATGTCCATTTTTTCATTGAAAACCGCTTCGATACCCCATTATAACTGTATATTGTCTTTTTTAAACAATATACTTCATAATTGAGAACAATTAGATATATAGAATAATATTTATTAGCGAATAAAATTAATAAAAATAGGGACAAATTAAATACAGAGGGTTTATCAAGTGTTGTAATATACTGCAATTATGTTAAGATAAATAAATAGTATATATTGTTGATGCATGTTCCTAAATAACTGTACTGTGGAGTGTCTGATCAATTTTCAACCTTAATGACGTGAGTATAAGGTTGTAACTTAAACGTATTTTGAACCTTAAAGGCTGTGGTCGTAAGGTTGCAAATAAAATGTAGCGTATAGGTATAGATTCTCATTAGTTTGATTTGAAGTAAGGTTGAAGCATGCTAAAGGATTTTCGACCTTAATTAATTGTGAATAAGGTTGTAAATTATAAACGAGTGGTTCTACATTTATATATATATTTTTTTACGCATATGTTGTTCACTTATTTACGTGAGGAATTAGTTTTTAAGTAATTTCAGCTAATAGTGATATTGATTTTTTTATTACAGTTGTTTTAGTTAAATTTGTTTTCATATTATCTTTTGTTAATGAAAACCAAAAATGTTTTTGTCTGTACAATATTGTACCTTATGTCTTTTAGAAACGATTTCTTTTTACATGATAAAAAATTGATATTTTTTATGAATTGTACCTGTATACAAAATCAGATTACTTCATGATCTCACCTTTTTCGAAATCCTCAATAAAATATGAAATCGTTATACAAAACATAGCTTAAAAAACTTTAATCTATTCTATACTATATTTAAAGAGTTATAAGGTACAATTTTGTACAAACATTCATGTTTAAGAAATGCTAAATAGTTATAAGAATAAAATTAATGTAGGAATAGAGGGATCTTCTAATTTTAATGACATATATTATTATATATTTTGCATACGTGATATATAATCTGTGATAGTTTGAAGAAATATATGATACTTGTGTTCACAGTAGTCAAAAGTAATATTTACTTCAAAATCTTCAAATCTAACTTTGACATTGAAATTCCGACTTTATTCTCTTCGGAGTATGGTTCATTTTAGTTTGACACTAATGTTTATGGGAATTATTCGTTTTATTTTAATAGGGGTCGTTCTGATATTGAATTGACGACCTTAATATAATGAGATGTAGAGTTTAAATTGGTATAACGCACACAATAACAATTTTAGTTTTAATTTTTGTGTTTTAAAACAATTATAGGAATGATCTTGAATGAAAATCGTTACTCGCATGTCGTAATCAAAAATTATGTTGACATGTATCAAATTAAGTACATAACACTAATAATAACGATGCTATCGACACTAACGGGCTACCGGGGCTCCGGCTCGTCGTGCAGGAGAAGGAACGGAGTGGTTTTTAGTCAGTAAGAGTCTGACACTCCTTCCCGCCTCACCCAGGCGGGAGCAGTCATGAGATGATATGCCACATCTTTCTACTTCCATATATTCCCAGAATTACTATAAATCCAGACTTCCATTCTTGCATAAAAGACTTGAGATGAACGTATTAACTTTTAATAATACAAAATAATAAACTGTGGGCAGAAATTTTAACAACGACAACTCTTAAAGAAACAAATATGGCGTTGTTAAGACGTAAACGTTATTTTAAATGCTGATTTTTCAATTTAATAATTCTATAATTAATTTTTTTACCCGACTACTAAGAAAAAGACCTTATAATTTACTAACGACCCGCCCCGGATTCACACGGATGCAATATGCATGTATTATACATATAAACTTTCCTTAAGAATCACTATCTATTTAATAAAAGCGCATCAAAATCCGTAGCGTACTTTAAAAGATCTAAGCATACATAGGGACAGATAGACGGCGGATAGCGACTATGTTTTATACTATGTAGTGATATTGTATCGAGATTCGGTTAGTTCATTTAATTTGTTAATGCATGTTACCTGAATTTATCCATAGAATAATAATAAATTATTTTATTTAGTATGTACATGGAACTACCCATTTACTTTCATGTATATTGAAATGATGATTGAGAAATCAGCCTCGAATATTTAAAGAAATGTCCCCTAATTAATATGGAGAAAAGATGATATTTTTATATTTTTTCATGAAGGTCCCTTTTTTATGGAGTTTTGATCGACTTATTGTTGTAAATGTGTATTGAAATAAGCAATAATTTACTTGTTTGTATTTTAAAAATAAAATGTAATTTAACTGTATTTAATGTGTGTTATTTACAATGAAACCTTGTTCTTTGAATCCTTTTAACCTGTTGGCTGCTAGTATATGAGACATAATAGAAAACTCATTGTGTCTCGCGTAGATCTACGTTCCGGTATACCACAGGGCCTTCAAAAACCAACGTAAAATATTAAATGATAGTAATGATATTCCGCAGACTTTTGGTAAAAGTTAATAACTGGACTTAGTCTTTATAGTGACTCTGACGACTGTTAATCAGTTGCTAATTACAAACATCAAAGTAATATACTCTTATTCAAAGAGATTTTTGTAAGCTTCGACGCAAAACAACGAAAAATTAAATAAATTGTTGTGAAAACATTATTATTTTCCTTTTTCTATAAAGTTTGACGCATCTAGTCTATTTGACAAACTCAAGCGTCTTTCTTCAATAGGGGCTATTGTATTATCGCTCGCTAGATGGTGCTAGCGTGAACCTCTCGTTTTGGCCCATTAGGGAAGCAGCTAATATTCTACCATTGGACATTCAATATGTGAGAGCTGCTGTGAATGGACAATAAAGCACTTACTACATTTTCACAAACTGATGACCAAATACTTGGTAGCCCCATTTGAATACAAAACAAACAACAACATAGATAGACTTGTACATGACATTTAATACAATAACGTTACAATGAGAACTGGTACAGTTGCGTGTTAGGTCGCGAGGGTCGCGCGCGCGTGCAGGCAGCGTCCCGCCGCGCCGCGCCGCAGCACGACCAGTGCCGCGTGCCCGGCCAACCTGCGTGCCCGTGCCCACACCCTGACACACAGTTAAATATTATACAACAATAATATACTTCGTTTAATGTCAAAATTCAACTTAGATTAATATTTGGAGATGGCAACTTCAACTTTGTTATGATACGTACTCTAAAGGCGCTAGTGTCGCATTATCATCAACCGTCGGCGAATATTTGCTGTTGACCTATGACCCTCTTATATTTAAAAGGGTTTGCCATAATCTTCCTAACGACGACGGTATCGCGTTATGACGCGATACCGTCGTCATAACTAAGTAACTAACTAACTAACTAATAAAAGTTATGACTTTACGTTCCCATTCTCCATTTTAGCTATATCTCCTTCACCGATGAAAAATACAAAGAAAGAATGGTCAAACCTTTATATCCTCCCGGCATCCGAGCTCCACAGCCACAGGTAGCGTCCCGGCGGCCGCCCGACGAGCAGAATGCGCAGCAGTGGAACGTGCCCCAGTGCGCCGCGCCGGCACGGGCACAGCACGCGAATGGACTGCCCTGCACCATGGAACGACATACTTTACATTGAAGACCCTTCAAAAGTCACGGCAAATGTGACATCTGCATAATTGCATATCAAAGTCAAAGTCAAAGTCAAAATCATTTATTTCAATTAGGCCAGAATGGCACTTTTGAACGTCAACAAAAAGAAAATTACAAGTGAAGCTATTTGCTCATTCCAAGGTGTAGATTCCTATGGAGAAGAACGAGCAAGAAACTCCATAGGTTACTCTTTTTCAATCAGGTTCACAATACAATTTAATAGTTACATAGTTTTGCTGTTTGGATTGTGCGAGAACAATGTAACACCAAAATCCAGTCAAAGTGATTGAAAAAAAAAAAATAAAAAAATAAAAAATAAATAAATATCATCTATCTTTGAACAAATGTGATAGGTATGTAACTTGAAAACTGAAGTGCAATTTTACATCAAAGAGTCGCAGAAATTCATTCGACTCTAAAGAGAATTGAATATTTACAAATTAAAGGGCCGGCTCCAGTGAGACAACCAAACAGAGCGTGGAACGTGTGCTCGTTTCGATATCGTGTACCAGCCCTCGGATGATTATTCCTTCGAATATAATTTTCATCGTAAAATCCAAAAGAGATGAAACAAGTCCTTGAATCATATTAACTGGATGTGGTAAGTACTTAAGTGATTTTGTTTCACCTAATTTATCCAGCTCGCAAGAGATAAATTAATTTTATATATGTTGATACTTAAAATATCGTATCCCAAATTTATTCATACAAAAGTAGTCTCTAAACGTAGGAAATAAGGTCTATAATGGAAGTCGCGGAGAGCGGTAACCAGTGACCGCTTGTTGATTAAACAGTTAATATAGACTGAACCAGTCCAAAAGATATTCAGGGACATCTTACGAACCTTAATCGGCTTATTATTAATAGTGACAGCTAGTAGATAAGCTCCAGGCGAGCGAGGCGTGATGCTGAGCGTGTAGGTACCATCCGTAGTGTCCGTCACACGAGCCATGCTCGGACGGGCGCTGGAGTCACGGCGGCGGAAGTATCCAGCCACCTGATCAATGAGCAATCAACAATAAGGACCAGATTTGTATTGTAA